ATCAGTAAAAAGCATGAGACATTCTGCTTTCCACAGAGTGTAATTAAAATCTGAGAATGATTAATAATAAATAAGCATTTTCTATGACATCTTTGAGTATGTTTACAAACTTATTAAAACATATTTTATACAATCGTGAACTGTCTTAAGAAAAAAACTTCAATTATAAATTGAAATAAATAACTGAACTTATTGACTGTCAGAAAAATACATCTGAGAAAGTCGCCGTAAAATAAATTTAACCTCCATTTGATATTTGTAAATTTTATATATTTTAACTGATACAACATTGTGACATTGGTAAAACAATTAATAAATCTTTTCACCAATCAAAATATCATCTCACCATTATATTTGTAGATCACATCACTACGTATAACGTTTGTCCATGATGGACCATAAGCCTGGGATATAGATAAACTCATTGTGTCATTATAGGTGATTGGGAAACAGCCATTTTCAAAGCACGTTTGGACATAATGCCTCCATTCAATAAATGTCGTGAAATTTTTACTTGCAATCTGCACTATCGCCTCTGTAAATTGTAAACACAGGAAAAAAGTGTACACAAAATATAAAATACAATACATTGAATCAAATTGCTAACTCTATACCTACGTATATGTGTATATTTCTTAAACTAATACATCGATACCAATAAAACTAACAACATAACAGTAAAATGGTTTTGCAATAAACCAGTACATTTTTACTGCTTTGTGATTAAATGCAACGAAATCATCATCAATTAAAAAAAATATTTAGAATTTCCCGAATTCACAAAATGCACGTTATCTAGCAATTTCCTATGAAAGTAAGTGTTATTACGGTCCAAAATGTAAGTTTTATGAAACAATGACTTTGTCAGTATGAGCTCGTATAACAATAATTAAAAGAAAACGTAATTTAAATTGATATTCAATTAATTGAGTGTGTTAATCTCATTCTTAATAATTATGTACATAATTCATTCAATACAATTTTGAGTGCGCTCCGTGTTTTTCAAGAATGTCGATGATTATGTTAGAAACATCGTTCTTTGAGGTTTATAGTAATGAACTGCATATTTGAAATGACTCGAACGACTATCGGTATCATTTACGTCGGTCAAAACATCACGTAATTGGAAATAGACATTTATTTACTGTTTATGATATTTGTTTTGAATTCCCTGTAGTAATATTTTGTATTATAATATTAACAGAGGTACTTGGCAAACGTACCAAATTTGTATTCATTTCCATCGGGTATAATTCAGCTACGAACTATGCAAACATTTTATTGATATCGATTAAAATAGCATTTTAGCTATTGGTAAATATATACAAAAATTAATAAAATTTAATGAATAAGCAAATGAAGGCTTTTCATAACATACTGCCTCTCTTTTTGTTCTTTAATTGTTGCCTTACCTTAACCATTAACCTGAAGGAACGAAAAGTGATCAACTTTTTCATTTTTTCAGAATTGTTGATTTTAAATTTTAGAGCAAACTATGTTTAAACTTTATGTGGTCATTTTTTTGTGTGTAAGTGTGTGTGTGTGTGTGAGAGAGAGAGAGAAATTCGCCGGGTTGACCTAGCAAAAAGCATTGTTGCATATCAGACTCGTTTCCGCTAATTTACCCCTACCGGAAATTCCATCTGACATGGGGTTGCCAGATGAGTCGCTTGTTATACAATGGCACGCTTAGGATAAAGTAATTTTACCTTTATAAATGAAATTTTTATACGCTGTTGAAAATAGTTACGGGTGTAATGACATAAATGTCCTTGAACTAGATGCATCTAGTATTCTTTTTAAGTTAAAGAGTTTAAAATTTAATGAAATATGGTAAAATATGCAAGTTAAATATCTTATATATGTGCGCGCTTCCGATCGGAATATCTGTTCTTCCGGAACCCGCGATAACTCTCGATAATAATCCGATCCTAATCGCAACATATGACAGATATTATTATTTTCGTGAATTCTCACAATAAAAACTCAATTTATTCATTAAATATATCTGTCAAATGTTGTTGCCACGACCTGTAAAATTTAGTTGTGTACTGTTCTTTTACTGGTAACATTTGGTTTCATTAACGTAATAATGTACTAAAACAGAGTTCGTAGGGAGCTTGACAAGCTTATTTGCAATAAAGCTTTATCGGACTGGTAATATTTTATTAGTCCAATAAGTTATAGTTGACATTTAACCTTCCGTCTGCTATGACAGATTTATAAATATTCGATTTGTGTCCACTGATATAAGTACCGTATTATTGACATCATCTGTCGTCCGCAACATTGTATCTTTAATCATAAATTTTTAAACAATGATAAGATTTGATAACAGATCTATTAAAAAATTGTTCAAACAATAAAATTTCCAGTTACTTTGAAACTCTTCTTGGTTATTCTTCCCCCTGCCGGGCGTAAAAATATGTTCAGAAAACAAATTAACCTGTTTGTTAAGCATTATAGGTCGTACAAATATGTATCTGTCATTTGTAGTCCCTTTTATAGCACAAGTTAACTAAATCCTGAATAAGAATAAAACTATTGATTATTCTGTGTTCTCACAGCCGATCAGATCAACTCGATCAAGCACTTTCAAGCGATCGGGTACCGGCATGGCTCGGGCTTCCTACCCGAAGATGTTTGACATGTCAAAACAATTCGAGTAGCAATTGAGTAGATAAGCGGTCGAGAAGCGATCGTATAGTGATCGAGTAGAAGATCTAGTTGATCGAAAATAAATCGTGTGACGATCTAGTTTGGTCGGGTATACATCTCTTACGCGATCTGTACACGATCATCTCGACTTCTACTCGAGCATTATTTACGAATCGATTACAATCATTACGATCAGGTAGGGTGGAAATCTGGCAACGATCGAGCAGATGTCCAGTTAGTCTAGTTGAGATCGTGTATGAATCGCGTACAGGTCTGGGTTATCGAGAAGAAGTCGGGCTGTTGGCCGGGTTGTTGTCGAGAAGAAGTTGTAAAACAAAGTGTAAGGTCGACTTGAGGTCGTGTAGGAGTCGTGAATGTGCGTTTAATCCAGCTTGGTCGGGATACATCGGGGAATTAATGTGATCAGGACGATCGGCTTGATCTGATCGGCGGTGAGAACATGGAATTAGCGGATATTTATAAAACGGTTACCGCTTATACATAACGAATGGTGATAAGAATTGCAGTCGCTCCACATGTGTCCAATATTAATCTGAAAAGTTAAGCACTCTCCATTTCCATTGTGATTCCTGTCTTTAATCAAATCTGAAATGACAAAGCAGGGATGAAATATATTAGATGTGGTTCATTCAGTACTCATTATCATTGCTACAACTTATATAGACTCAACTTTTATGTTAGCCGGTATCAGCAATCAATATAAAGATTATAAATGAAACGTTATACCACAAAGCACATTCATTATCAAATAAACTGACACAATAAAATGCAATATCATTATGAAAGGCAAATTCATCTTAATATTCCTACAGAAAATATAAACATCCACTTTTGTTTTGATGCTTAACCAAACTTAAATGGATGTTTAGTTTACCTGTCTTCATCCTTTCGTATATTGACATATATTCACTTCCTCCACCCGCTATCCAATTACCATAACTTAAAAGGTGAAATATCACATTCCGCCAATTTGATGTTCTCATTTGGTTTTTCACTCATACAATAACACTATTACAAGAAATATATAAACGAAAAATTAATAATCCTATAATTCTGTTGACGAACAGTTTGGAATTTACTTTCAGGTATTGCAAATAACTATTATAGATATTATAACAAAAGAATCATAACAATTTATGAACATGAACATCATTTTTATTTTTTATTGCCTAATGTTAGTAAAACATAATGAAATTGCAATAAGAATAAAATCTCTACATAAACAGGTAATGAGAGTTTTAAAAATACTTTATTTGCAGGTGCAATTGCTTAGATAGTTTATCTTGTCCTTGTTCAAACCAACATATGTATGGTAAGATTGCACATCGAATAGCAAATACCAGGTGAATTCTAGATACCGGTAACATTATTGTAAGTTTTGCATTGTTTATAAAGCCACATCCTGAAATTTGTATTAACCTATTGTTATACTTCATTACTGTTTACATAAAATGAACAAGCAATTATCATAGTATTGCAAGGACCGGTTAGAACCCCAGCAACATTCTTATTTCAATTTTAACAGTGAATGAACTTAAATCTTTTGAGTTCTTAGTTTGTCTATTTCACAGTAATGTGTTAAGTTTCCCTGCCTAGTAAGGAAATTATGTTTATACAACACTGTCATATTATTACGATGGGGGATTTTAAAGTAAATCCTATAAGAAATGAAGAAGTTGGAGTAAAGAATACCAATTTCTCGAAAAAAATCTAAGTTCAAGGGGGACATAATTCTGGAAAAAGTCTTGCTAGAGTATTTAACCTTCTCAAAAATGTTGAGTGATAATAAGAAACATATACATAGAGTTTGAAGTAGATACATTAGGAAATAAAGAAGTTATTTAAAAAAGACAACATTTTTTCATAAAAAAGTTCAAGGGAGGTAATACTGATAATGTTTGTGCTAGAGTTGTAAACCTTGTCACATATGATGTGGTTGATGACCAGAAACATAATTATATTTAAAGTTTGAAAAAAACACCTTAAGAAAAAGCTGAAAAATTTAAATCAGAAATCTTGAAATTCAGGCTATTTGTTTCCATAGCTACCAGAATTTTCAACATAGGAAGAAATGAAAAAGACGTGCATAATCTCCAGACTGCCATTTCCCATATTTCAAGTTTCATAAAAATATTTTCAGTACTTTTTGAGTTATCACTGGATACAGTTTTTTTGTTAAATTTGCCATATTTTCAGACTATTTGTTGTCATAGCAACCAGAATTTTCAACATAGGAAGAAAAGAAAAGAGACGTGCATAATCTCCATACTGCCATCTATCCATATATCAAGTTTCATAAAAATATTTTCAGTACTTTTTGCGTTATCGCAGGATCCAGTTTTGTGGCGGACTGACAGACAGACGGACGGACGGACAGACAGACGGACAGACGGACGGAGGGTAACCCTAAAGTCCCCTCCGGTTAAACTGGTAGGGGACTAATAATTACTTTCACAAATTGATCAATTCGTATATTTGATTAAATGTAAATTCCTTAACTTGCTTCTATAAATAATTTTCAAATTATGTTTTAGAGTTGCACACATATGTCAGCTTTTATACTCACTCTTACTGTTAATTTAAAAATCATGTTCTAGAGGTTCACACATATATCAACTTATTTACTTGCTCCTGTTGATACTTTTAAAAATCGTGTTTTAGACATTCAAACATATGTCAACTTCTTTACTTGATATTATTGATACTTTTAATTTGTTTGTATTATATGTTAAAACATATGAAAAAGAAACAAATTTGGGTGAAAATGTCATATAAACGGAAACCGTTTAATTCATTAACACACAAGAAAATATAATTCGGTAGAATGATATATTGAGGAAAGTTGGCTAAAATCACTTTGAACAGTTTTCATTGTTTACAATAACGTTATCATAACAATATATTTTGCAACCAAATAAGTTTTGTTTTTTTTTTGCTTTGGTTATTTCATATCTCATAACCCTCAGTGAAACTCTGATTTCAAGAAATATGTAACATGCTAAAAGTTAATAACATTAAAGCTCGATCATTAATTTATACACCATTTCATATCAGCAAATCAGTAGATTTAAAGAATATTTATATTAGATTTCTCTAGTGCACTATTTTGTCAAATATAATTTGTACTTACCAATGTACGCAAATGCTGTCTCTTTTTGATAATATCCAACCCTCACTTCCTCATTATAATTGAGGTACGTTGGTTTAATTACAATTAAAGTTGAATTGTTCACTTGTATGTTTGGTGTTGCAAAGTTATATCTACTCTTTTCATCATGCCATGTAATGGTTTCATTTGAGAGAATATCAGCTGAAACTATAACAATAAACTTTGTTAAGATTAAATCTTAACATCCTCTTTACTAAAATGTTGCTGCTGATTTCAAAAATAATGTTTTCTCCTCTTCGAAGATATAGAAGAGCAGTATCATGACAGTTTGCTGAAAAATTTACCCGTCTAAAGGGCGAACTTAAGGTTCATTGGTGTTATACAGACCGTGAGCAAACGCATACATTCATGACTTTCTTTTCAGTGTTTTGATGATGTATTCCGCCGTAAGTAAATTATGGTGAACAGGCAGTGTGTCCGACTGAGCTATGAGATTTTAGATTTAAGTTTCTATGTATAAATCGATGTAACAATATCAATTTTTGACTATAGTATTGTTTCAGCATATCAAATCGAAAGTATTTTGTTATTACGTGTTGTTCACCTTTAATAATAAGTAATTGTATTATTAAGGAAATAACGCTCAATATGAGAGATGTTGACGTAGTTGTCTCAAATAAAAGAAAGCAACAAAGTATTCAAAAGAGAAAAAATACCAGTACAATCAAAACTCCATAGAAAAACGAAACATAATCCAGATTTGGGTGACATTTTAAAACTAAAAAACATGACTCAAGTTACATCATAAGTCGATTACTTCCTGATTTGAATGAATAAAGTATGCTATAAATCAGAGATGAAAAGGAATATTTGCATTGCCAAAGTTAGACAAAACTTCCGTGTATTTAAAAAGTTTATGAGTGGCTATAAAAAGGATGTATATTATATCGGTGAGGGGAAAAACTTGTTGCCTATATTTAATTATGCATTTGTAAATATCATACACTTCATTGAGACAGTATGGTTATAAGAATTGTGCAATAAAAGTACCAAATACATGTATATTGTAATTACTGGTCAGCAAGATGACAATGTTATAATAATATCAAAATTATATTATAAGGGTGATATATATGTTAATATTCAAAACGAAATAAGTGTGTTTATCTATCATGATCGCTGTTTTTAACTACCTTAAAAAGAAGAAGGACGACTGTGCGATCAAGCGCCACTCCAAAACAAAAATGAGATCATAACAATCAATCAAAAGAAAATATTAATGCGGCATTTTAACAAGACAACAGCCAATAAACAGAAAAATAACAAAAACTCGACTTGTTGTCGTCCTAGCAAATGTTTGTGTGCAAATAAAATTTGAGATTACAAAGTGAGGAAAGAGAATCCTGTGTTACTTTTTTAATTGTCGTAACTTAACACTTTCAACAAGGACAAGAAGTTGGTTTGTGAAAAAATAAATAATTCCGTCATACTACCAAAGGAACAGATCGTAGTGACACAACGACAATGACCCAACCTAATTCCGTTAACGGGGCAATTATAAAAGCGTGGTTATAGTCGGGAATGCCGTCATTTTATGTTGTTGTGTGAGGCAAGCTGCCTTTCGTTTCTGCAATTCTTTTGAAAATGTAAGAGATGTTTAGATAGAAGAATACAGTTTATCTGTTCATGTATACATAATTGTTTCTCTCCTCAAATTGTTTAGTACTTTTATTTTGTTAATTAATTTTAAAGATATACTATGCTCATCCACGAATAAAATATTTTAATCACAGAAATTTGTTGAAATCTATAAAATTCTTACTAAATATGTCTAATCTGAATAAAAGAGTGTAGAATATGGATGATGCGTTCTCTATTACAGGTCAATTAAAGTTGGTCCTTTCTTAAAGAAACTGCCAGTCTTTTTATTGACTCTATATCTATTCATATTGTGAAGACCTTTTGTAGTGTGTGTAGAGTTTATTATTACAGTGTGCGTAATCAAATAAGTTTATTTTATATTTACAAAGATATTTTGTATCAATAAACAGTATTTTCTAATATCAAATTCGAGCATAGTACATCTTTAGAGAAATGTAACATTAATTTATAAACTAAATTTTTAATGGAATAAACCCACTAATAAGATAATTGTATTTATATCACATCAATCATTGTTATTACAGAATGTAATTTCACCAACAATTTATGTCATTCTTTTCCTTGTCTAGGATGAAAATCGACACCCATATTATATCAGAAATATGAATTTATGTCCCCCTTCATTATTCTTACAAATAATTCAGAGGTTTGTTATTCAAAAACGTAATTACATGTTCAGTACACCGTACTGTCTTTGAAAAGCACATCCAATAAAAGATAATGGGAGTGTTATAAACTTGTTCAGATAATATTTTAGACTTCCTTGTAAATTAAGCATAGTAAAAGTAGTCAGTTGGTTAACTACAAACCTGTATAAAATGTCGGATTTTACAGGTGTATTTTATATCATATTATGGATATCTTACACTCAAGGTAAATTACATTTTTATTTTATCTGTAAATAAGATAAGCTGTTATATCATTTTTATAAGCACTGCCTGTGTTTTATGTTTTCTTGTATGGCAGTTGGAACGGTAAAAAATATATGTTTTTCGTCTGTTTGTACATGTATATTAGACGCCACACACTTAACATTAATACATAAAAAGTCAAAAATAACTTATAAAAAGTTAATACTAATCTGTAGAATCTAGCAGCCTTAAAGAATTTAAACACAAACTGACTACAGACTTCACAATGGTATTTTATTCACGTCGTATATGTTCGCAAAGCAAGTAATTGTAAAATATACATTTAACAATTTATTACCATTTGACAGTATATATCTGTGTAAAAGAGACACATGTTCACATATTTTCTGTATAAAATTATTACAACACTTTATAATCATAATAAATTGACTGCGTACATAGTATTAATTTACTGTATTACTAGTACAGTGCAACTTTTAAAACCGAACACCTGTGGGACTAGCCAAAATGTTTGGAATTTTGAAGTTTCAGGAATTCAGACGTTCGGAATTAAGTGATCAAGTCGAAACATTAGACATCAGCATGATGAAAGATATATGCATTTATAACATGGCAAAATTATAGAACTTTAAAAAATGTTTATAACTACTTTAGATTTCATTATCAACTATTACGGAATTTGTTGTTACCAGAGCATAATGTTTTTAACAATTTATCCTTAATATTTTTATGTCGTATTGCGATACGAATAAAAGCCCCCGGACAAAAACCCTCCTCTAAAATCGCACCCCCATCAAGTTTACACATATGACAAGAGCCCCCCAATCAGATTCACATATAGGACAAAAGCCTCTGCACCTAAGTTCTCTTCATGTTTGTAACCTTTCATTTTCTTCATGTTTGAATTATAGTTGTGTTTGTTTATATCATTTTTCTTCTGATCATAAGTACCATACTGCAATGCTATCTTTTCTATAATACATGTTTATGCTATCTTTCAATATTTGTGCGTTTAAAGAATATTGTTTTTATATCACATGCAGTGCTAAGAATATTGATCCCTTTACTAAATAAAGTGATTAAAATTACAAATGTAAGACTATTTTGTAAGAAGAATAACAAGTATGGAAAGCTACATGTATGAATTTAATATCACATGCATGCGTTATTTCATCTGTTATCATATACTTTGTAATCACTTCAATATGTACATTATGAATAAACATTAAAAACAAATTGTTTTTGTTTGAGCTAGTGTGAACCTTGATGAATTTGAGCAACTAGGTGTGTGAAGAAAATATATAAGTCAGTCTAGTCTAAAAAGCTTAGGGGGGGTCTTTGCTCTACCAATTGGTTTGATGGGATGGGGAGGGGGACTTTTGTCCTAGATGTATTGTTGATGGTGGGGCTTTCTTCCTACCTGTATATTTCATATGAGGGGGGGGGGCACTTTTGTCAAGCATGTCATTTTTAGATGGGGGGGGGGGAGGGCTTTGCGCGGGGAGGGGTTTTTGTCCCACACTCTGTAGTTTCTGCTATTAACCTTTTTGTTGTTGTTTTCTTTTTCATCACGTCTTTCTGACTTTCTTACTAGTTTTGAACACTTTCATCAAGAGTTTGACATACTTGACAGGTTGTGATAAGATAAATGTAACTATGGAAAATATTGACATTTTGAATGATTCACATTCTCAAGTATAATATTTCTTCACACCTTTTCAATTTCCTGATTGTGGAAGTAAATATGAATTGAGATGGCCAAATTTGTACCAGAAATTAGAAGTTGCATTATTCAGAGGTACCAATTACAAATGTACATAGAAAACAGAAGAAGAACTTTCGGGACCCTGCAAATTTTTCAGATTTCAGAAGTTTTCGAATTAAAAAAGTTCCGGAATTCGGAAGTTACACTGTATGTCTGTACTTTAACCTTGTAAATACTCTAAATACGCTCTTTATTTTGGAGGAAATGTAAATAAATATCGTCACAATCTTGGCATAGTTTAAACGTATATTTATCTGCAGTTGAGAACGATTTAAATTTTAACTTATGTTAATGAAACCGTTTTGAATATTGTTTTTAATCGTCAATGTAACTAGTAGTGAGTATTTTACATGAAACGTGGAATACGTAAGTGCAATGCTTTTCATATATGCTTATTTATTTTCCAAATATGCTAACTACTTTTTACTCTCGCAACCGTTGTGTACAGAAACACGTTATGTTTATCTTATGATTATTTGAGTTATACTTTTTGGTTACATCTTACAACTTGAACTTGCACGAGACATTTATCGTACTGTTTTGAAATATTTAAATGTATACCTTTATGTATAAGCTATACCTTTCTTCATGCTCTATACAAACTATTTACGGTTTAGTTCTTTTTTGTATTACTTTTATGTAGAAGTCATTCAAAATCGTCTATTTTCTATTCCCTACTTCCTTTTGTACACCTAAAATTACACGATAGATTTTGTTAAAGTGTGCCTTATATGATTTATCGCTACCATGACGTGCTTACTGTTAGCTTTCGCTTAAAGCCATTATTCAGTGTTTATGCTAATTAAAGCTAGGTGTCTGATGCTTTTTTGATCATGTTTGATCATCTGACATTGTATATAACAATTTACACAATGTCTAGCGAGTGTGAACGGTTAAGGGGCGATAACTCTGTTATCGAGATTAACGGAAAGTTTCCACATTTCGCTTATCAACGGAATTTTCCGTTCACAAACTGCGGTGACCATACAACGGTATTCTTATGCGAATATATAATAAATAGATATATTAATTGCCCAGGAAAGAATATAAATATAAGTAGAAAAAGATTATGCAATTTAATTTTATATACATGTATACAGTCTAATAGAAAAAAAATAAACAGTTATTTAATGGGACAGTTTAAGGTCTGACTCACCCAAGCTCAGCCAAATGATACGTTCATGAGCTGGGATGGAATTTAGAGTATTCCCTTATCAAACATCCAGTTGTTAAGCACCTGTCTGTGTGTTGCAAAGGTCTGTATCTAAAGACTTGAACATTAAAAAGGCAAATTGTATTGGCCTTTTAAATTTCCAAATGTCTCACAGTCACAAATAATGGCGAAAAGGTGTGTTACGCAGTACAATATATAATAAAGTGGGAAGGAAGGAAGGAAGGAAGGAAGGAAGGAAGGAAGGAAGGAAGGAAGGAAGGAAAGAAGGAAGGAAGGAAGGAAGGAAGGAAGGAAGGAAGGAAGGAAGGAGGAAGGAAGGAAGGGAAGGAAGGAAGGAAGTTGTTATTTTTGTGACATGTGTATAGCCAATTACAAATAATCATATAATATTATGTGTATGATTATAGTACTCGACCCAAAAGGCCTATAAGTCACCAATCTTCTGTGTCACAGACACCCCTCTAACACCACCACATTCACATACTTTATGCTTAAAGGTATACTATGCATTTTTCAGTAATATATTTTCATTACAGAAATTTATCTATAAAATTCTTAGTGAATATGTCTTATAAAAATAGAAACACATACACACAATGTATTGGAATCTGTGTTCCCTGTCACGGATCAATTTAAGTAAAGCTGTGTCTTTCTAAAAAAACTGTCATATTCTTTTAATAACTTGTTCATGGTTCATAGTCATGTTCATAGAGCCCATTTATAGTATATAAGATTTAAAGGAAATCATTTGTATCAAGCCAAGTGATATTTATTTTATATTACAAAAAGACCGTGAAACACTTATCAGTATTTTTTTTGATATCAAGTTTGAGCATAGTATATCTTTCAATTCAATTTCACTATTGCACAAACGACTATGGCACACGTTCAAAAAGTAGTATAAACAGTATAAGTTGTAGGATAAGTCATAAGAAACATCTACATGCTGGCCGAATCTTCAAAAACACGCACGTGGCGCCTGTCAAATCGTTTTCTTTTGTTTTGTTGTTTTTTTTTTTTTTTTAAATCTCCCACTTACATGTCAGCCCCATCAATAAAAATCAATAATTTAATGTGAAATAGTGTCGACAATGTAAGGATTTATAGCAAAATTAAAGGTACTAACGTGAACTTACCATTTTACCGTCTAATTATATCAAGAACAAGCTAAGAATGTTCCTTTAAATACCAAAAATAATACGCTGTCCTTAAAAAAGATGCAATTAAACACATAGCATATTAAAATATGTGAGTTTGATGGTTCAGAAAGGAACACATGAAGTTGCAATTACATGATGGTGCATTCAGTAATCATAATGCATGATAGTATTCAGCAAAACGTAGGTTTCAATTGTCATAAAGAAGTATGGAAGGAAGCAGAATGTAAGTCCCAATTTCATCAAGCAAGATGGAATAAATGCACAAATTCTGTTCCATGTTCACAAAAAGTGTATTTCCTAACAATTGTTGTATGGGCACCATGCGATCATAAAAACATAATATTTTATCTCAAAAGTCAATAAAATCGACAAAACGATACAGAAAAAATGTCCATATCTGGATTTGAAGCCTGTGACAAACTTTTCCTTCCGCGTGTACTTTGGGCAACTAAATGCAATATTCTTTTGAAAATGTAACAGATGTTTAGATAGAAGACAGTTTATCTGTGTACATAATTGTTCATCTCCTCAAATTGTTTAGTACTTTTATTTTGTTAATTAATTTTAAAGATATACTATACTCATCCATGAATAAAATATTGTTATCACAGAAATTTGTTGAAATCTATAATAAAACTCTTACTAAATATGTCTAATCTGAATAAAAGTGTGTATAATATGGATGATGCGTTCCCTATTACAGGTCAATTAAAGTTGGTCCTTTTCTTCAAGAAACTGCCAGTCTTTTTATTGACACTATATCTATTAATATTGTGAAGACCTTTGTAGTGTGTGTAGAGTTTATTATTACTGTGTGTGTAATCAAATAAGTTTATTCTATATAATTTACAAAGATATTTTGTATCAATTATCAGTGTTTTCTAAAATCAAATTCGAGCATAGTATATCTTTACAAAAATATAACATATTTTAATGGAGTAAATGCACTTAGTCTAATAAGATAATGTATCTATATCAAATCAATCATTGTTATTACAGAATGTAATTTCACCAACAATTTATGGTATTCTTATCCTTGTCTAGGATAAGCATCGACACCCGTATTATATCAGAAATATGAAATTTATTTTCCCTATCAGTTTTCAATGAATAATCAGAAAGAGGTTTATGATGCGTAGTAAAGTAATTTCATGTTAGTACACCGTATTGCATTTGAAAATCGCACCACATAAAGGATTTTTTGTTCAGATTCTATTTTAGTTTTAAACTTTATAACTTCGTTGTAAATACGACAGGTAAAAGTAGTAAGTTGGTTAACTACTAACCTGCACAAAATGTCGGATTTTACAGGTGTATTTTATATCTTCTTATGGATATCTTACACTCAAGGTAAATTACATTTTTATTTTATCGGTAAAATATAAGCCATTTAATCATATTTATAAGCAGAGCCTGTTTTTATTATTTTCTTGAAATGCATTAGGTAACTTTGGAAATATATGTTTCTCTTCCACTTGTACTTGTATATATGTATTAGTTGCCACACGTAACGTTAATATAGCTTTAAAAAGTAAAAAAAAAAGTTTGAAAGGCTTAAAACTAATCTGTAGAATCTAGTAGCCTTAAAAATTTTAAAACACACACACAAAATACAGACTACACAATCTTATCTACTCACGTAAAGCATGTAATTGCGTAAAATACATTTACCGTATTATTACCATGACATTTTATATCTTCGTAAAGGAGACACCTGTTATGCATACGTTTATGTTTTATTTATTACATCACTTTATAATTGTAATTAGTTCACTGAGTACATATTATTTATTAACTGTATTACTTGTATATATGTATTGTAACCTTGTTAATACTCTAATATCATAACATACTCTAATCAGATATGCTCTTTATTTTGAAGGAAGTATAAGTAACTATCGTCACACTCTGAACATAGTTTAAACATATATTTTATTTGCAGTTGGGAGCGATTTAAGTTTTAATTTATGTTGATGAAACCTTCTGAATGTTTTGTTTAATCTTCAATGTAAAGTGGTATGAAATATGCTTTTAATTCAAGGCAATACTTTGCACATATACATGTACTTATTAATTTTCGAATATGCTTAATCATTCGAACTCTCACAGTCGTAATGTACAGGGAGCTAGATTACGGAAAGTCGGTGGTTCAACTCTAGTTATCCGCTCGTGACTGACCCTATTCATTTCGGGGCATTTGAGGTCTTCTTATGACAGGTAAGTCAGAAATGCAAAATATGACCTTTACTGTATGGATACACTGTAAAATCTAATAAAAAAGACAAAAGTTTATAATTATGTGAAAAGTTAACATTACTTCTATGATTAGTATGTACACTAAAATGTTGCATGATTTTTATTTTCTGTTGTTTTTTGCTAGACGATGTTGTTTTTTTTTGCATTTCCTATTTGTTTCTTTTTTCTTTACTTTCAATTCCAACTTATTTACAACAACACTCTGTTTGTATAATAATAATTTACAACATCATGAGCAAAACGAATATGCAAAAATACATAACATATAATATGTAAGTTATTACATGATATATTGACACCTAAGATAGGTTCATTGCATCGATCAATCATTCAATGTTACTGACATTGTTTTAGTTACAGGATAATATATTTACAAACATAAATAATTATAAATTAACAAATATTATAGTTACTATAAAGATGTGTGTTTAGCTTTAATAATATCAATTATTTATTCGAATGTACTCTTAAAATGTGTAGAAAGAAAGCGAAAACCTTTAAGAGTGCATACTTAAATGAATTTAGTAGGGAATCATAATATCTTGTGATATGCAACTCTGTTTGCGAAACAAAAAATGAAAGTTATTTATTTGAATGATTAACAATAATATTCTGTGCATAATTTTATTATTAAATAAAATTTCTGTATCCCGCCGGAGTCATTGTTTCGTATCAAACTAAGTGACAAATTTCTACACGTCACTTGAGCAATTATGAAATAAATGTAATACACATCATGATATAGAGTTTTTTTCTGGTAAACATAAATATACATATACTTTAAAGTTGATTTAGTACAAGGTAAATCTAATAAAAAGGTCACTAAAATATATGCCATATCTAGATTTTAGTACATTGCATACGTTCCTGCATTTTCAACGTATGTCCAATGTGTACAGACGATACTATTTGCGTAATATTGTTTCAATGCAGTTAGTTTCAATTTTCAAAATTAAGCTTACATGGCAAAACTTGAGTCTTTTTATAAAAGGCATTTATTTTAAAAAGGGTATACTTAGAAATATGTAAAACACCAAAGCCAAGGATAACATTGATGTAGGAACAGTCCCGGACAAGTTATGTTAAAATATTCAACATTGTGCAAGTCTCAATTTAGATTGCCGGAAAACGAAAAATGGAATGTATCTGTTTCATTGTGTCTTTATATTTTTGCTTATATATTAAAAATATCGCAAGGATAAATTCAATTCATGCGTTTATTGCTTTTGATCGGTCAAATGAAATTACTTAGTTGGTATTTCATTTATTCAAACTATTATGGACCCATTGCGCTAACGGGTGCGGGAGGTTGTTCGGTCTTCTAATGATCACGTGCTCAAACAAATATCAGGATTGGCTGGAACGGCACAATATGACCCTAAATAAACAACAACAACAAAAAAACCTACCAAAATAAACGATGCAAAACATCAAAAGCGCCGAGAAATAATACTAAAAGTAAAAATTTGAACCAACCAACAGCCAGAATACAGGAAGCGGCCTGGTGCCAAGTTAACATGTTCTATAAACATTGAAAACTCCTACGTAGGAGATAGAAAAGCCTTTTAAACTCCTACGTAGAACTTTTTAACTCCTACGTAGGACTTTAGAATTCCTACGGAGGACTTTATAATTCCTACGTAGGACTTTTAAACTCATACGTAGGGCTTTGTAACTCCTACGTAGGACTTTGTAAATCCTACGTAGGAGATAAAAAAACCTAATTAGGAGTTAAAAACCTCTACGAAGGACTTTATAACTCCTACAAAGAAAAACACTAAAAAATTCCTACGTAGAAGTTATAAACTCCTACGTAGGACTTTTTAACTCCTAAGTAGGATTTTAAAACTCTTAATTAGGTTTTTTATCTTCTACGTAGGACTTATAAAGGCCTACGTAGGACTTATAAAGTCCTAATTAGGCTTTTTTTATCTCCTACGTAGAAGTTATAAAGTCCTACGTAGGAGTTATTAAGTGCTACGTAGGATTTATCTTTTTTATAGAGCATGTTAAATTGGCACCAGGACGCTTCCGTACCAGAGCGTTACGAAATGTTTTAGAAATTCGAAATTTAAAAAAAAAATCAAAATAAAACATTCAGCAACAAAGTCTGTACAGACTAGACCGTCGAAGAGCGTCGATTTTGTGAACACTGACGATTAGAAGACCTTCTAATATCCCGCAAGTTTAAACATGCAAACTGGTAAAAAAAACAAAACAAGCTTGTTCATTCGGTTTTAAATCATATTTATTAATGAAACACGAATCAGCATTATATTATTGATAATATCATAGTATAAATGTACAAAATAAATAACAAGATTTACATTTTCATTTTTGAAGAAAAAATAGATACATGTATTTCATAATATTGTCTATATTTATATGTAGTATTTAGATTGAACTGCGATGTCTTTCCAGCGGAATACTTTGTTTCACAAGACAATTCAACTTGGGGTGGGAACAAAACATGTCAGCTCACAAACAGGATAGAGTTCGACTTTTCTGGTGACAAGGTTACAGTTAATATTTCTGACCTTGAAATTAAGAGCAAGGAAAAGATTTGGGTCGGATATTTCAGAACATACACCACTTTCACGTATACTGGTATGAATATGAAATATACATGTTTTAAAACCTAATATGATTAGTTGAATAATGTCGTTAATAGAGGCAACTTAACTCTATAATTTATTTAACAGGAATTAACTTAAAATCTAATATTAAGTGCAACTGATTTACATATTCAGATATAAGTCATTCTGATTATTATGCATTTATTTAGTATTTTGATAATAATCATTAGCGACTTAAATTTTTCATAACAATTACAAAATTTCGTAAACGGCTTTTTAAAGGAACATTAAACACTTAATTTGCATTATCTAGACATTTTCTAAATATTCAAGAGATTATTCAATACAATCGTAAACTTTCAACAAAAATCTTGAAAAAACAATCATACCTTTCCGTCTTCCTGTTATAATTTGTATGTGTATTTATCGAAATCAAATACTGACGTATGTTTATATCTTATCGTATATCATATACCGACGCGTGTTGATATTTTATCACATATTTCATGCCGACGCATGTTGCAAATGGATATATATATAAATGGAATCTGACTTAGTAAGAAACAATTTGAAGAACAAATTCGACAAAGCCTGTTTTATTCAAGGGAGCAGGCGTTGTGGTGGAGTTATTTATCAAATAAAATTATTCATATTTTATTTTATTATTTTTGATTCTTTTGCTTATGATTTTGTTATATTTGGTATTTTCAAACTAATTGAATATAGATATATTGTTCAAAAGGCTGCGTGTCTATCAACGATGTATCGGAACAAAGAGGTCAAATTCAAATCGAAGATTCGAATCCAGGAAAATGTTTTTCTGCATGTACAAACAATCGTTATATAGGCATAACCAAAGATCAGGTAAATTATTAGTTTATTCATTTGAAAAAAGCAACTTAATGAAAAAGTCCTACATCCAGATATATTATTTATGTTAGATTATTTATCATTTCAAAAATAAAATATTTAACGCAAGTCAGTCCCTACGTACTACGTAAAACTAATTTTAACGATATTCCTTGATAATGAAAACTCACTAGACAGAACTTTTATAATTATGTTACAAAAAAAAACTAAACCGATGAAGTTCTAAATCGGTGGACTTCATCTATGATTGATGTGTTTATAATCGGATTGTAGTTAGCAAAACAGAATGAAACACTGTATACAGAATAGATATGCATAAAGCTAAAAAGATGCACAATTTATTATTTTAAATGAAAAAAAAACAACTATTTAATACCTTTCGTTCACAATTGTTCGTCTTATCGTAGATGGGTTTCATTTTGTGCCAATATCAAAGCATTTAACACTACTTGTTATGAAAGATATATATATATGTAAAGCAAATGTTTAAAGACTGTTCATAAAAACATATAGGTTAAATTAAAACTGTTCAATATGATTTCTTTAAACATGACAGATTGTTAAAGTATTAACAATATGAAAAAGCATTGTATGCGAAAACATCTCGTTTTTTAGTCTTTTTTGTCTTTTTTTGTTATCTGTCCCTGAATTGGATTTGTTTGCTTATTTCAAGATCAGATAATTCACAAAAGCTATGTAAATAATACCTTATTTTTGTTCTTACGTTCATGTAGCTTACTTCGGTTTGAGTGTATTTGCAATTTTGCAAAATTTGAAGACAAGATAAGTAGCGGATTTATTCCTTCTTGAGTTCTCCAAACATGTGTCATTTTACCTTAAAAAAGCCATATTCTTAAAAAATGTTGAGTCGATTTTATTCAAACTGAAATATTGTAACAGATCAATGAAAGAAAAGGGGTAAACATATAATGAAGAAGAAGTGATTTTGTAGACGTATGTACAAGTTATCAACCTTTGAAAAGACTTGAAATAAGTAAATAAATTAAGGGCTGATAACTCAAAAGTGAGATCGGTGACACCCAACATTTTTCGCTTAAAATACTTCTTACAACATAGTCTAACAACATGTTACAACATGCGTAATTTAAATAAAATATGTATGTCTATATGAAAGCTCCCCTAAAAATATGTTTAAGTTGTACACAAATTACAAAGCTGCTCATGCAGTTATAGAGAAGTTATAATTTTTTTAAAGCAACAGTTTTATTTATTTTCCAAAATGAGTTTAACTTTGTTAGAGCAACACCTTTCAACGTCTTTGTTTCCCAAAGGCTCTGTAGAGATTGTTAATAGTGATATTCAAAGTTTTAAATGTTATTTATGTGTTCCATATGCATGCCTTTTATACGAGTGTTTGAAAAACGGGTCGTATAATGGTTTTCCCCCTAGCAGGCGGTCTGGTGAGCGGGCGGTCGGTTGGGCAGCGTCCATTTTTTTTTGTTTGGAGCGTATCTCATACACGCATGGAGGAATATTAATTAAAAATTCATAGAAATGTTAACCATTTTGAGAAGCTAAATTGCACGCATGAGCCAGGTCTCTATGTCAAAGGTCAAGGTCACACTTTGGACCATTTAGTTATCATTTATTTAGTGATTGAAACACAAATGTTCATAATCATGACTACAGGTGTGTAGCATTAATACATGCATGGTCAAGGTCACTTAAGATGATAAAATAATTATAAAGATTTTGTTCAGGGCATATCTCCTACATGCATTGTGGAATTCTAATGACATTACATAGAAATGTTCACCACTATGAGAAGCAGTGTCACGTGAATGAACCAGATCTCAAGGTAAAAGGTTAACATCACAAAGGTTTTTTAAAAATGCTTGTTCGGAGCAAAATTTTACATTCATCGGGGGATTTTAATGTTACTTTGACAAATGTTCGACATTTTGAGGCTAAGAATTGCGCGTATAATCCAGGTACCTGCTTCCAAAGTCAATGTCACATAGAGAGGTAATAATAAGGATAAAACAAAAGATGTGTACAGGGGCCATTGAGTCATCATTTATTGATGGACAAATAATAACTATCATGATTTAAACTATGATACATGTAATTTATGTTAATATTTGCAGGGTCAAGGTCACTAGACATGATAAGATATCCAGATATTGTCCGGATATTGCCAAAGCATATCTCCTATATGTATATCTATTATGCCCATATCTCAAATGTCAAAGCTTTTGTGACGGGCGTATTTTGCGACAATGTTGCCCTTGTTTATCACTAATACTTCAATTTTTGTCCATAAAGCTAATGTATGACATTCGTTGGTCCCTATCGCAATTCCATTTTCATTTCTCGTGAAAATAACAAATTATTTTGAAACGCAAGGACTCTAAAAGGAGTCTTGTGCGATACCATCACTGTATGTACAACAGGTTTTTTAGTGCCATAATGCTAACTTTGACTGCTATCATGGTGACTGAAGATTGAAGGTGAAGGATAAAATATAAATATGCTTGAAATATTTAAAAATAAAAGATCGTCAAGGAAGAGCGGTGTTCAATGAACGAAGACTGTCCACTCTTATTATAGATTGAATGTTACAAGTTAATTTAGATGCATATTTTAAGAACTTTTCTAAGCCCATGTAAGTTATTTATCCTCTATGCGAAGAAAATAATCAAATCGATAGGAATTATGGAAACTTGTTTACTCACATATTCCATTGGATGGGTATAATGTCACTTTAACACGGTAAGGATCACGGTCAGTTAACTCAACATGGTGCTTTTGATGGACTGTCCAGAAACCTTTTAATTAGAGTTATGTTTTAAATGTATCGAATATTTGATATCAAAACGTGTTTGAATGTTAATTTTATTGAACAACCTAGAGAAAAGTTAAAGAAAGAAAACTGACTTCAAACTATCTGACAAATGTTATTTTAGATACTTATCGTTTCAAATACATATACTGTACAGCTTGCTTAACCGAATCAGTCGGCATTGTCAGGCGACCTTTAATAACAAGGTCATATGTTTATATAATGTTGTGTCTGTGAACCTAACTTTTTATGTTGACTGTTGTTTAATTTAATTTCATTATTTCAGTGTCATTGCCTTGGTGACGGTTTTACAAACACTACAAATGATTTGCAAGTGTATTGTGACTCCCACTGTAACAAACCCATTGTTGCATGTGGCGGAAACAATAACGGTACCACGTATTTGTCAGTTTATCGGACAAGTTTTAATGGTAAAAATAAATATACTTTCTACCTTATAGAACGTCGGAAGGTTTCATAACTTCAAAACAACGCATTACCGTTCCAATGTCTTCCCTGAATATATCCTGCCTTTGTGTTACTATTAGTATGATTCGGTCGCTTCAGTTATATAATGTGAACACTCAACAACTAGATAACACAATATAAATCATCAAAACAGTTCCAAAAATGAAAGATTTATTGACAATTTGTCAACAGATTGGAAAAGCCTATGACAAGTCTTACACTGTTTTTTTCCCTCACTTCGCATTTTCCGTTTGTCCCACTTTCTTATATAACCAAAAGCTCCCATTTATTTGAAATATATTGCATACACCATACCGGGACTGGTGTAAGTGAAAAAATTAGTTGATTTGTCTGTAACAATAAAATTTTGCTTTTGACTTTTTTATGATTGAAGTTTGTACATCAATTAAAGTCTCCGTGATAATATTATTGTGCATCTGAGCTCCATACCATATTATATTTTACCATAAGGCACTCAAGCTTAATATGTACGTATTTCCTATATATAAAACCAAGAAGTGACCATTTAATTTAATAAGTGTCCTGCTTATTTATCATTGCAATTCTACTCAGAATCCAGAGTTAACGGTATATACAAACGTTTAAATGTTTCCCAACATTTGTCAAAATAATACATAATTGTGATAAACAAAAATAATAGAATATAAAATTTCTACAACAATGTTCATTTTTTTTCATTCGCAATACACTTTAAAATACAAAAAAAGGATAACATATTGTCTAATATAGAGACGTTCATTACCCGTTAACAAAACATAGAAATGTGAACAAAATCCTAAATAAAAAATCTTGCATTTGAAATAAGTCCTGAATTACAAATGATGGTAAATGTTTCTTTGATAGACACTCGACAGATTTTCTAATTTGTCATAAGTTGCCATTCTTGGACATTTAATTTGATCGTCACTAAAATAAGATGTTGTTTATACTCGCATTACAAGAGGTCATTTAGCCAAACAAGTGTTGGTGTTTTTTTTTTTTTTTTTTTTTTTTTTTTTTCAGAATCACAACTAATTTGATTAACTTAAGAAATTAATGTCCAATGAAAATGTACCAAAAGCCAGAAGAGAAATTCTAACATTCCTTAATCAACTTCCGCCTATACCGATGCCTTTTTTATATTCTAACAGATATTCTATTTGTCCAGATATACAAAACCAATTGATCTTTAGACACATCCTGATAAAATTAATTTCAAACCTTAAACAAGGTCCTCTTTGATCGTTTGCATACTTTTCTTACTAAGTATCAATGCCATTTTTACATTAAATTATGCGCCCCGAAAGGTGAGCATAAAGTCGCCGCTTTGTCCGTCAGTCTGTCCGTACACTCTCACGGGACAGTAACAATGTGTCAAGTGGGACAATAGGTAACTGTCCTCTCTCTTTGATGTCATTCATTCCGTAAAGTTTTTATGTGGCTATTTTCTTTTGTGTGGCTAAAAAGAATAATTATAGAGCGAACAACAGAGTAGCCACATTATTACTGTCCAGTTAGAACATCCGTCTGTTCGTCCGCTTTCCTTGTCTGTAACAACAAGAGGTATGTACATGACCCTTTGTAGTTAAATAGATAGTTATATGTGCATTGCATAAAATCCGTAACTCTACCTTGCCTTGTTTTGGTGTTATTGTCCTCTGTTTATTTTTATACTTTGAACTATGTCTGGAACATAACTCTAAACTAAAAGAGATACATGTATCAACATGAAACTTTGTAGGCGATTATATCTCATTGAGTAGAAGTGTAGTGCAAAGAACCATAACTCTGCCTAGCCTAATTTTGGAGTTATTGCCTTTGTTCTTTTTTATACTTTGAGCTTTGTCCGGTCTATAACTCTCAGACTATAAGAGATATCAATATGAAACTGTGTAGGTAGATAGATCGAATTGGGTAAATGTGCAATGCATAAGAACGGTTATTTTACCTTTCCTAAGGTCGGAGTTATTGTAAGTTGTTCATTTTTATACTTTCAACTTTGTCCAGGACATAATTCTTAAGTTATAACATATAGAGACTTTGTAGATAGATAAATCGCATTGGATAGAATTGCAGTGCAAAAGAATATAATTCTTCCTTGCCTAATTTTGGAGTTAAACTTATCAAAGTTGATTGAGTTATAAGGCCATAGGCCCATACACATATTAAGATTTATAATACAAAATAAATATCTTTGGATGCTACATATCAGACATATTAAAGATATAACGAAAATACGTAGAACAAAATGACAACATTTATCATAGAAATAGTATAGGTGTTAATTATCTAAACAAGGACAAACAATGATCAAGTTCTCTAAGCGCTACATTTGTCAAAGAAAGGCATATTAAGTACTTATTATCTGAACATTGACAAAAATTGATCACGTTCTCTCAACGCAATCTATAGAAAAAATTGCTAATTTCTTAATAGTATCAATATCTTGAGTTGACATCAGATAATAATATTTTATATACGAAATAATAACTCATGTATGTGTCTATTATCACATAAGATACAATTATATCGCCCTGTTTTTACCGATAAACAATGAGATAAAGATCGAGAATTTGCTAAAACACGAGTTATTTGTTTTAATCCAGACAATAAACATATTTTGCAGGCAAATAATTTTTTTTAAATGAATATAATCCATCAATTTCACATTTAATGAACATTTTGATATCCCAACTATATCCAAAACCGTTTTGATAGAAGCTAGTTCTAACTACAGTTACCCAATTTTATTACTAATATTATCAAAATATCTTAACATATTATAATAAATTATAAAATATCTAGAAGGATGCATATTAATGTTACGCATCCATTATTTCACAAAACGTTTATAAACCAGTATATACATAGGGTAACTAACCAACTCCCCTAGAACTGAATCATTGTAAGCTATTTCCATGACATAAAGAAAACGTTTACAAGCATATTTATGCATGTCTTCAGTGCATGATATGCTACCTTTTATCCATATTTCGCAGCATTACAATACTATTGGAATAACTGTAAGGTCAATTATTTTGAAGAATGTTTGATAGGGTTACATCCTAAATTATTTAACGAGCTGACAATATGATTAAATACTTTCTCAGCTTAAATCGCCTTGTCCTCTGCCATTTTGTATAGACATTCGCGATGAGTAAAATACAAACCAGTATATGAAAACCCATTAACTAGTTCAACATTTATGCTATCATAAACCTAATATTCTCTAGCAGCTATTATACCGCTTTATCACAGTTTTTGTGCACTACACATCAAATCATTAGACGACATATCAAGAAATTCAAATCGGTACAATCTTCATTAATATTTGGACAGGAAAATGAGAAATTTTCAACCACTTGTGTATCTTTAATGATATCAAAAAAAGTTATTGAGAGGATAAAATAATTTATAACACTATTTCCATTTCTATTAGCAACGGTGCATTTTGAAGACAATGGTTCAATCTACCATTTGCAATGAAGATATTGTCGGCTTTGCAAAAATGTAATAATTCTTTACCCCTCTTATTAACAACAACATCATCTGATTTTCTTCGTTGATCAAGTATATTTTCTAAAATAGTCAAGCAATACAGACACTGTCTTTTCAATAATTAGAAAATTAAAATCACAACTAGTGCGTGCATTTAGGTCACCACCAATTATTAAGTAAAGGTTAAGATTACAGTATATTAATAAATTTTCAAATATTTGAAGTACAGTTTAAGACATATTTCTATACACAGTCGAACCCTTAGATGGAACATAAAGCTAAGTAAAAAGTATATGTTCATTTGTTCCAAACAAGGGCATGTCTAGTATTAGAATAATATCATATACAAACGCATGGAAAACCTGTTTGATTAAAATTGTGATAGAATTTCTTACAAAAACAGTAGCACAACATCATGACGGCCACCGCTTATAGATTTCTTTGATGGACCATAAAAGAAGTCATGGTCTTTAAAAATACTATTATAATAATCTCTACTTAAGTCCCAAGTATCCTGTATCCTAAGTGTCAAGATTGTATTATTTTTTAGTATTTTTATCGTTTTATTTTATTTTTGTTTAAGCAGCACGAATCTGATTCAATTCATTTTTAAATCAGTGTTTAGATATTTAGCTGAATTTTAATTTGCACTTTATTTCATGTTGATAGGTCTATTTAAACTCAAGTTATAAGTATTTAAGTGCATCAAAAGAAACACTTTTGTTTAATTTTACTGCGACGTCGATTATATTGTGACGTGACATCAATTGTTTTATATCAGGTTCGTGCCGTTGCTCTATATATTTAAACAAATAAAGAAACCTGATGTTCATTAATAGAAGATCAGAAAAAAAAAAACAACAAAAAAACTTAGTTCCCGAATAAGGACCTTTCAGTATTGTCTTAGAGTTTTCTGCAGAAGTGGTGAAGCAAGTCTCCAGAGTGAAACAAGTCCAGGAAGCGCAGCAATTCCAGGAAGCGCAGCAAGTCTAAGAAGCGCAGCAAGTCTAAGAAGCGCAGCAAGTCCAGGAAGCGCAGCAAGTCTAAGAAGCGCAGCAAGCCTAGAAGCGCAGCAAGTCAAAAGGGCAGCAAGTCCAAGAAGCGCAGCAAGTCAAAAAGCGTAGCAGTCCAGGAGTGCAGCAAGTGCAAACCTGCAGCAAGTCCAGGAGTGCAGCAAGTCCAAACCTGCAGCAAGTCGAGAAGCGCAGCAAGTACAGAAGCACAAGGAAGACGTTAATTACTCTGTCTAGCAAGTTCCTTTTGTAAATAAGACAAAGTCACCCCACACAGACTAACATCTGACAATTTGGGGGCTCGTCCGGGATATACTATAAAAAGGTTAATGTAAGAAGGTAACATGAACTACGACGAGTGGATTAGGTTAGGGGAGGGACTAGGTTTAAAGGGGAAAGCCTAGCGGCATTCATTAAAGAGAAAGAAGCAGAGTTCCTTGACAGAGAGGAAAGGAAACTTAGGAGAGAAGAAGAGAGTAGGTAACATGAAATGCAACACGAGCTGCAGTTGAAAGAAAAAGAGTTAGAGGGCGAAAGAATAAGATTAACCAGACCGTCAATAGAAGGACCTGGTAGAACGACTCATCCTTAACTTCCGAGATTTGACGAAGTTCATGACGATATGGATGCTTATGTTGAAAGGTTTGAGAGGTATGCATTAAGCCAAGGATGGGAAGAGGAGACGTGGGCAATGAGTTTGAGTTCCCTTCTGACAGGGAGGGGACTTGAGGTTTATACAAGCATGTCCCCTGAGGAAGCGTGTGATTACACAATGCTGTAAACAGCGGTGCTTAAGAGGTACCAGCTGACCGAAGAAGGGTTTAGAATAAAATTTCGAGACAGCAAGCCAGAGGCAGGAGAGTCAGTGCATCAATATATTTCCAGATTAAGACGATACTTCTCGAGGTGGACCGACATGGCACAGGGGGAACAGTCTTATAAATCACTGTGCGAGGTGATAATAAGAGAGCAGTTTATCCAAAGCTGCTCATTAGACCTGGCCATGTTTTTGAAGGAGAGGGCGCCAAAGACGATGACAGATCTTTGCCCAATGGCAGAGCAGTATCTCGAGGCACATGATGGAAGATTTGAGGCTTCGAAGCAAGGCTCGAGCAGTGCTCCAAGGGAGATAGATGATATTTTACAAAGTAAAATCATAATACCACGTGCAAGAAAGAATGATTTTGATAGAGGAAGAAAGACATGCTTCATCTGTAACAAGGCAGGTCATTTGGCAAGAGACTGTCATGGTTTGAAGAAAGAGACTTCTCGTCATAAAGAGGAGACGAAAATGTCAGCAGAGGTTACCGAGGATCACTTAAGAACCTGAGTGCTTGAATTAATCTTGACTTATTTTATGTGAATATAAATATTCACTTGAAAAGAGGGGCTATTGTCAAGATTGTATTATTTTTTAGTATTTTTATCGTTTTATTTTATGTTTGTTTCAATTCATTTTTAAATCAGTTTTTAGATATTTAGCTGAATTTTAATTTGCACTTTATTTCATGTTGATAGGTTTATTTAAACTCAAGATATAAGTATTTAAGCGCATCAAAAGAAACACACTTTTGTTTTATTTTACTGCGACGTCGATTATATTGTGACGTGACATCAATTGTTTTCTATCAGGTTCGTGCTATATATATTTAGACAAATAAAGAAACCTGATGTTCATTAATAGAAGATCAGAGAGAAAAAAAACAACAAAAAAACTTAGTTCCCGAATAAGGACCTTTCAGTATTGTCTTAGAGTTTTCTGCAGAAGTGGTGAAGCAAGTCTCCAGAGTGAAACAAGTCCAGGAAGCGCAGCAAGTCCAGGAAGCGCAGCAAGTCTTAGAAGTGCAGCAAGTCCAGGAAGCGCAGTACGTCTAAAAAGCGCAGCAAGTCCAGGAAGCGCAGCAAGTCCAGGAAGTGCAGCAAGTCCAGGAAGCGCAGCAAGTCTAGAAGCGCAGCAAGTCCAAAAGCGCAGCAAGTCCAGGAAGCGCAGCAAGTCCAAAACCGTAGTAGTCCAGGAGTGCAGCAAGTCCAAACGTGCAGCAAGTCCAGGAGTGCAGCAAGTCCAAACCTGCAGCAAGTCTATAGCGCAGCAAGTACAGAAGCACAAGGAAGACGTGAATTACTCTGTCTAGCAAGTTCCTTTTGTTAATAAGACAAAGTCACCTTAATAAGTGGACCAACACAGACTAACGTCTGACACTAAGAATAACACATAATGATACAAAATCAGACAAATGATAGAAAATAAGCTTAATGTGACAATGACCATCCTTATTTTTTTCATATCACCTTTTCCAACATGTCTTGCCCACGCAATATGACTGGGTTTATTTAAGAAATAACATCGTCCTGAGAGGTGTATATCGGCTATTTAACACCGGTTTGGAGTTTTGATGCGTAGGAATTGACCACGAAGGCCGTAGGCCTGAGTGGTTAATTTTGTCGCAGCAAAACGACAAAACCGGTGTTAAATAGCCGATATACACCTCTCAGGACGATGTTATTTCGATTCTAACACGATAAAATAAGGAAAGTCACTAATGTTATTTTTCAAGCGGAAATAACTTCCGGTGCCGCTTTTCGTATAACGCTGTTCGATTTGCGCACCTTACTGTTGTGAAGAAATAGAAATTATTTAACAAAAGAAATAATAAGAAAAAAACGTTATTTTATCAAGTTTTCAACATTAAAAACTTACGTCGTATTGTGTTTACATCAGTGCCCCATTTATCATTCTTGTATGTATGAAATAACGTCAGCTTGTTTATGAATGAGTTGTTTACTTAGGATGACGTCATTACGCTGCTTACGGATTGGCGCCGTTTTGTCAAAATATTTATTAACTGATATGGATCTAATATATGGCGTTAGTGTATGTGAGATATTATTTCGGTATTGTATTAAAAGAAAACATTATACGAACTGAAAATATAAATAAAAATGCGTTTTATTGTTGCATTAAAATGCTTAATAAACTATACAATCGAGGGTGAAAACATAATAGCGCATATACAAGTAGTCCCTTACCGGTATTTATTGGCAGTTTAACACCAGTTTTTTTCATTCTTTGTCTATAGTGGCAAAATCACGTGAGTGTTAGAATAATTATTTTTGACTTGTTTCATTAAATGTTCTATATACTAAATGCTCTAATGGGCATCTTTACATTCATCTCGCCCGAAGACCCTTAACAAACATTTCAGCTTTTCGGATTCAAAATTGATAAGACGATTATAAATTCTTTCAAACCGATCAAAATGGCTGTCCTCTTGTAGCTTAAAAGCACTCATTACTGAAAACATCATTGTGATATTCCATATTAGATAATCTTTTCTCAATATCTTCAATATTTGCCGACAACCAATTGGCTTTTGCTCAATATTAATCACTTTTGACTTTACAGTTTTAATTCAGCACCTAATACTCATTTTTTTAATGGAGGTTAATTCTGCAGTATTTTTCAAGTTCTTGAAAAATCATTTTTGTGTATTCGGTGGGCCCAGGATTGAGTTCGACGTCAACAGACAGTAGAACTTTTGAACTAAATGTTGAATAAAGTGCACCATACATATCATGGTTATGACACAATGTTTAGATAAATAAAAATAAATTGTCGTTGGAACTGAAGCACATAAATTAAGGCTTTTCATAGCAAAACATTCAACCAAGTGACAAATAGACCCCAAATGAAGATGAATATAGCAATGAATAGTAACCCAAACAATGCATCAGTGTAATGAATATCAGGTGTTTGGTTACCTTTTCTTTATGTTTACGTTTGCGAATTGTTAAGAAACAACCAACTCAAATTATTGCCCGATACAAGCTTGTGCCAATACCCATTTTCATGTCGCTGCTTTGCTTCCATATAAACGTTTAATTATCTTTGAACACTTTGAACTTTGTCTTTGACATAACTCTGAAACTACAAGAGGTATACTTTTATATGTTCAAAACCTATTCGGGGAGCATCAACCAGTTCAACAGGTTCTTGTTATCAAATATCTTTAACTACAAAAAATAACTTGTTTAAATACAAAATGTTTAATATGCATTTTTAAACGGATTGAAACTATTTGATTGACATCATATTTAATTGATACACATTGTTATTATTGAGTTATGATAATAACAGAGGTTTTCTTTTAGTTTCAGATTCAAATAAGAAAGACACCAATTGTTTATCATTGGATCCAGTCAGTAGAAAATATATGTGGATGGAATGCTCTGGGGAAAGTTCATCACTCTTAGGAATGTGTGCCAAAGGTATATTTAAATTTCATGCATCGTGTCAATAAGTTACAATCTGTAGGGTAACTGGAAAATTTGGTGTTTTATTTTGGTGCTATCTGCACATGCTTTAGACCATTAAATTGATATAAATTTAAAAAAATGAACGCATTGTCTGTTGATTTAATTGAAATAATATATTCTATATAAGAAAACTGTTACAAACTGTGGTTAATATTTTGCAAATTACTCATGAATAGATATACATGGTGTTTAATGTAAATATTATTAAATACACGTATGTTTCGAAGCAACTTAATGTCATGTACATACCTAAAAATGTGTTCTTGAAACATGAAATATATTTTCTGGGTGTTGATTTTATTAAAATAATGCTCTACGGGATAAAAAAAATCTAGCAAATAAATGTATCAATATACTTTAATCACCAAAGGTAACTCGGCAAGATAAACTATGTCTTTCTCAATGCCTTCGAACAAACACTTCTCCCTTTATATCAAATCAAACATGGTAAGTTAATACTGAATTAACAAAAACGTGTTAAATTGTTTGCTTGCATTAAACTCAGTCGTTGACTGATATTAATCTGTTAAAAAAGGAGAATGATCATGTAAAATCTATGTAGCTAATGGAGACAATTCTTCAGTGCATAGTAAGTAAATTGTTGTAAAGTGGTTTGTGGAGTTGTCCCCCTTAAACGTAACAGTCTCTTGTTTAGAATGACTATTCATGTTTGTCACTAGGGCTGTTCGAAAAAAATTGCTTCTTGTCCTCTATCTCGTGATCTACATGGGACACGATAAAAACCAATACATATCTGTGTAGGGTAATTCAATACCTACGCAACGGTGTATAAATGTACATGTTAGACTTGGTGTAAGACATACAATTTTCCATTTAAATTCACGCAGCCATTGACCACTGTAGTAAAGATGGTTTGTAGAAGCGTCGACACAAGCTCGCTCAAAACTGGGTTGCTCTTTGAAGCAGTTGATGACTGAACATTTTTCTGCTTATGGGCCTTCTTATGTCTTATGACACAGTTAGGCGATGAAAAAAAATTGAGTCTGGTGTAGAGTGCATCAAAAATGCACCAAAATCAGGTGAGCCAAAATCTGTATCTCGTAACGCAATCGTTTCCAAAATAAAGGATTTCATTGAAGGAGATGCCAGATTTACAGTTCGTGATATTGCACGAAAGGTAGGCTTATCACTATCAACGGTTCACTTTATTCTGAAGAAGCATTTGAAAGTCACAAGGATTTCTGCTAGATGGGTGCCACATCTGTTGACCGATGAGCAACGGGTTAAGGTGGCCAAAAAGCTGCTTCAAATGTTTCCAAAATATGACAAAAAACAGTTTGCCAATGCCGTCACAGGTGATGAAACTTTGGTCCATTATGTTTAGCCCGTCAGAAAAGTTAGCAACAAAATCTGAGACACTAAACACAACAAACGCCCAATAATTGTCAAACGGTCTTTGGGTGCAAAGAAGGTTTTGTTCGCAGTTTTCTTCTCAGGTGAAGGAGTCGCAAAAAAGGGCCGGTGAAAAAGGACAAAAGTATCACTGGGAAGTACTACAAAGACGTACTACTTAAGAAAACTGGAAAAAGTATTATAAGAAACGACGCCCTGTCACTGGTTTTAAGCATATCCGTCTTCTACATGACAGTGCCCCCGCTCATTACTCCGCAATAGTTTCGGCGTTTTTGAAAAAGAAAAAGTACTTGTTTTTCCTCAAACCCCGTATTCTCCAGACCTTGCCCCATGTGATTAATTTTCGTTTCCGAAATTGAAATCCTTCCATGCTGGGCGGAAACACAAGTCCCGACAGGCACTTGGATCTGCTATTCATCAGTACCTTATTATTGTACCCAAATCAGCGTAACGTGACGCCTTCAAGACGTGGATACATCGGCTGACACTTTGCAATTCTAGCCACGGGGAGTACGTCGAGGGCATGAAATGAACACTTTTGAGCTAACTTGAAATTTGAAGTCTCCAGATAGAAATAAGCAATACATTTCGAGCATCCCTAATATGTTTGTATTTTTTGTTTTATATATACATTTACATGGATACTATAACAAATAAGCATTATTTGTTTGTTTGTTGTTTGAGGGATTTTCTTAATTTATGTTTCCTTTTTTATTGTTTTATTTTCTAATAACGATAATGAATAATTATAAGATGATATTGAACAAATGTGAACAGCAAAGAAACAACAACAACAAAAACAAAATGAACACAATCAAACAAAAAGTTGTCTTGATATTTCTTGCGACCATTATTGTGATCAATCAGTCAGCCCTCAAACTATTTACGTACCGAAGCCGGCCGGGAGGTCACTTCAATTCTATAAGCTCCACAGTACTGTGTGCCATTTCATCTTTTATACAGTAATTTCATAGAAAAATAAATGGATGAAAACCAACAGGTTACAGCACTTGTAAAATGAATTGAAAATTATTGGCATCAGGCTTGTATAACGCGGTTTGGTAAGAAAATACCACAATCCCCGCGATAACACGCTTCTAAATTTTAGCTTACCGACCAGAACGTAAATGTATCTGCTCAAGCAGTCACTATACGTTTTTGTCGGATCGGTCATCTTAAATATTATACTATACACGTCTTCTGGCATATAAATAAACAACAAAACGACATATTTGTGTAAGGTATAATATATATGAATATCAATATATGAAAAATTGTGAGAACATTATGTACTCGTTTGGTCGATCAATTCTTACAAATATACTTATCTATCGTCTTACTTTTCAGATAATCACGTTTTTGCCAATAAACCAACATCATATAAAAATTGGTTAAACACAGTTAATGAATGTTTCAAAAATAAAAGCAGGCCAACAGATTATTCTAACTCAAACGGTTTAGGTGTTCACAATGGATCGCAGTTCTGGACTGGAATCATTAAGAGCAAAGCAATCTTTACTGAAGGTATATTGGTATATAAAGTTTTCGTCTCTTAAAAAGGTTAACTAAATAAACGTATCTGCTTTTAATGGTAAAGAAGCTAAAGTAAATATGTCCGTTAATTTAGTTATTTTCTTCTGGCACAACTTTTGATACATACTGTTTTCTTATATACGAACTGTCAGCAGTAATATATAAGAATTTTATTATTAAAAATAGTTTTCAATAATTTTATTCACCATCTGTTACACATTGTTTGCCAACAGTCAAACAGATGATGAAAACTAACGAATTTTATATATCATAATGAAGCGTTGTTATTTATAAAAATTTGAACCCATTGTTTGACTAAATAAAACACAACGAACAAGAATGCAGACCAAACTCTTAATATAACCATGCAATTCATTTTGTTGTTGCCTTTCAATTATACCAATTATGTTTAAAAAAGGACAATAAAACAAACTATCGATGTACTTAGTAGAGTCGAATAGTGAAGGTTGTTAGTCACTTAATTTAAAACATTATCATTAAATTGCCCTTGAATGGCAAATACGTAGTACTACTAATATACTCTGAAGAATCGACATAGTTACATAACTCATGTCATTTTAGTTTAACGAAGCCGCAAATTTTTCCTTAAATAATAAGGGACAGTATCGTCATTTAAACTTTTCAGAGTATCAAACGTTTACTCTAAAACTTCCTTGAGGAATATGATATTCTTATTTTAATATGACACTTTACTACTAAACATTTTTATGTGTCGGACTTAATATACTTTATAGAATATTCCGGACCTTAGAAAAGTTATATGGTCCTCGGACGTTGTTATTTTTAACCATTAATCAGGTCCGAAAAAATATATATCGACAAGAACACAAATTTAAAATCGTCACGTCGTTAACCACTAGCAGTAACAGGACATATCTTTATATTTGAAAGAAAAACACGCAGTGATAAAACCTTCAAGTCTATAAGTTTTTTACCGGACTAATGAGCAAATCAGATTTTATTTACGGTGCACGATACACTATAAGGTAACATATCTCGATAGCACCAAAGTTGTCTGTTTTCGTTTGTATTTAGTCGGATAAGAAATGCTTGCGTATTCCAAGTAACCGTGAAAAACAATTGATTTAGAACAAAAATTACAAACAGCCCTAGAATGTTTGTGATTAGAATTGTTATGCCACACAACAATGAATGCCAATATGCAATCGATAGCTATAACTCTGTCCCGTAATATATAATTGTTCCAGCTTCATCATATATAGTAATTGGCATTGCATATTATAATTATAAGGAATTAAATGACATTTTGTTTTGTGACCAGACACAACCAAATGTAAAATAAATAAGTTTGCAGGCGTATAAGTAATGCTTATGAGTGACAAAAATGCAGTCTTGCCTGGATTATAATATTGGTCCCTCTAATACTGTTTTGCAGATCTACTGAAGTTCGTCTGACGGCGTCTTTCTAGCTTTACTAGCAAAGGAAGACACCAGGGGCCACTTCGTGCATTATTTAAGGCACGTGCGGGCAACTTAGTAAAGCAATCAACTTTCATTAAGATGTCTAGATATTTTCCGCCGTTTTTCTCAAAAGAAATAGTTCAAAATCCCTGACAGGATTCGACCTTATAGTTCATAATTGTTTCGCTAAAATATTGGTTTAAACATGTTCCATGTTCTTAAACCATACACAATTTTATAAAACTTTATAAAATAGTTATTGCTTCATGTCTGCTCAAAAAATCTAGAAATCGTCCTTGCGATTCAAAGTGCACTATTATATAAAATAGTATCTTTGCAACACATGCCGAGTAGACAATTTTTGCTTAAAACCTATAATGTTTAACATGAGGTAGCTAATGCTTTGCTTGAAAATAGTTAGAATGTATAAACGAACGTTTTAAGCAATTTATAATCTTTTTTAAGGTTAAATATTTTATAGGCATGTGAGACTTAATTAAGTCAGTTAGATATTTTTAGATTTACAAAATTCTAATATAAAATATATCATTTATAATATTTTCAACTACGACATACTTCTGAGTTCACAGTGATATGCTGTTCTAAAAGTAATCTTGAAAATGAACATGTGTTAATAAGAAAAAAAAGACCAACGAACCTCTTTTGTCTCGTTTTGTTTTAAACAACTGTCTTTATTGTTTTTATTATATCTTATCATATGATAGCTGTAATGAAAAAGGGTGAACATGTTTTTAAGAGTTTGATACACCGAATGAAGGTAAAATTGAGTTTGGGTATTTGAAGCGCACAACAGGAGACAATTATGAGTTAAAATTTGCTAATGGTGATAGTAACAAAAGATATATTTGCAGTTCAGGTAAGATAAAGAAGTTATTAAACCATTTATGAAAAGTGTGCATCTATTCAATGAAATTTCTTTGAAATATTTTACTTTCTATCGCTTGTAAATAATGTAAACATACATCATTTAATTACTTTATTTGCAGTATAAGAACCAATGCTTTAAGTCAGAAATTTGCAAAATTTACATCTTTTGTGTTTTACACAAGTCAAAGCAGCAAAAATATATTGCACACACTTTTTATTGCATTACATGAAAAAAATAGAATGTATGAATTGTTCATCGTGAAATTTACTTACACTGTACGTGTCCTCGAACTAATATAGCTGTTGTGCAGATATTCTTTTAAGTAGTATAGTGTTGTGGAATAAAATACCTTTTGCGGTAAATATCACATGTGATAGTTCCTGTTTCAACTGTTTGAAGTTTTGAAATGTTTGCCTACAGATAGGCGTTTGTGACATTTGACGAATTATAGTAAACGTTTTTTCCCTAGAATGCATTTAGCAAATGATTTATACCTACACATGTAAACTATTCAAGATTCCTAAAAGAATATTTTACTTATTTCATACATAATTTTAGTCGAAACAACAGCTATAACCGATGGAACAACGTTGTACTCGCAAACAACAATTCTCATGTCATCATCTGTAGAAATTTCAAACAATATAACAAGTCCTCCAACACCGACAACAACATCATCATTGTCAACACCAAAGTTTTCTCAAACAGATATAACGACTGACAGTGAATCGATAGACAGCACAACAACAAAGGCGCAACAATTCATGGCAGAACAGAAAGGTATGAACTATAACTTAGTACATAAAAATGGTAGATGAATAAAAGAACTATTGACGACGAGCAAGATCATACAATTTTGTATTAAAGGCAATAAATTTGTTGTGTGTTGTGGTTTGGGTTTTACGGCGACATTTACACGCTTCCGGTCACACAACGCTTGAAATATGCAATATTTAGACCTGAAATGTGTTGGTACAAACTAAATGAGGTAAATTATAACTGCATAAATGGTCGTATAAATAAAAGGTTCTTATATTTATCTTAATCAATTGCCCTTAATTTTTATCCATATTATTAATTGATTTACATCACACCCTTCTTTTCATTTTTGTAATCATTATTAATCCATGTGATTAATTTATTTACACCACACCCTTCTTTTTAATTTCTAAATCATTATTACGTTTGTTTGCTGCTGTTGGCGTTTTTTTCTCTCAAAACAACAATTTCAATGGTAACAATTTTAACATATAACATAAATTTTATAATTTTAAATAATTACATTTTTAAGAGAAGTTCTCTTCAATTGTTAACTTTTATTTAACATTCACTTAACGTCTCTTCAGACTCAAATACAGGTGTCTCTGTTGGGATCTCAGTGGCTGTTGTTTTCGTTATTGCTGCAGTTATTACAGTCATTGTACTTTTGAAGCGACGGTAACATTTTGTCATTTATATTAACTTTAAACTGTTTTATATGTCAGTATACTTTTTTTTTATAAGGTGCCAATTTAACAATTTAAATAAGATAATAAAAATATCTTCAATCTCGGTTTTTCCATGTGCACTTGAACACATGTTGCTTTAAATGAAAATTAAAACGTTTTAGGAAAATTCATTGTAAGATCGTTATATAATGTTTGTGTTTTTCAATATTTTTGTCTTGTTTCTATATACAATGAAAGGCTATTTGTTTTAGTGTTTTGAAAACAATGTTACGATGAAAAACAAAACATTACACATTTTCATTTTCAGAGGTCTGATTCCAAATAGGTGTTACAGAAAAACTGATCCAATTAAATCTGTAAAACCCACCACTGATATAGCCGCAGTTAGCAACAATAATTACGAAGAAGTCGAAGATTCTCCGTATGACACGAGTAATAGAACTGCAACACAGATGGGCATGGACAACTCTGTTGATTCTCCCGAAGACAATGGACACTATGCACATACCTACTTTGTACTAGAAGATAATGCAAATCACTCTACAACAGAAAATAGCATCGCATTTCCAAGCAAAAATTTGAACGGAACGGACGAAAGCAATGTGTACAACACATTAAACTCAGATATTATGCATAAAAACAATGTTGATAACACGTACGACACAAGCGAGACAGCGCTCAGAAAATTGCAAACTCAGCTTAGTAAAGAGTTTGATGGACAAAAAGAAAGTGTGTTTAACGACAGGGATGAAGATACTTACAACCATATTAACGGAAAACCTCACAACAAGAACAACACTGATAATGTATATGGTGTCAATGAAAATGATTATGGAGATATTCAAAAACGTTCCGAAAAAAAGACTGACTCAGAAGATACGTACAATCGTATAAACTTAACTCAGTTTCAGACCAACGAAAAAGTTTGATTAATTTGAATTCTTACCACTAATAAGTTACTTTTGACCGTGCTTGATCGAAAAATATATAATATATGTTCTAGTTGTTGAATAATTCAATACTCGGGTCCCCTCAAATTGTCCCCGACGGATACAATATGATCACAACCATTATCTTTACAAAATGTATAGAAAGAACAACAGAGCAATGTAGTTATGAAATAATGTTTAATGTGTTACAAGCGACCTGGTTATAGCTGACTGTACATGAAATGAACCAACATATATATGTACAAATAAACCCTCATTTGCAAATAGCATACATTAATATATATCGTTTCATAAATTACATGTAAATAACTTCTGTCAGACAAAGTGCAAGACTAGAAAAGATGGAACACTTACATCTATCATCTAATTCCTTAACAAAACTTATAATACAAATCTTAATTTTCTTCTTCGGACATGTTGACAGTCGGTTAAGCAAGCGCTGAATGAATTTGCAACGCTATTCCGAAAATCACGTACTGATTTAGGCACGAATAGCGCCCTCATGTGATCCGACGGGAACAAAAACCAGGGGAAATAATTTTCTTCTAATGCACTTTGTTTAAACAAAATAAATTTTATTCCCCTCAAATCGTCTCCGACGGATACAATATGATCACAACCATTAACTTTACAAAATGTATAGAACGAACAACAGATCAATTTAGTTATGAAATAATGTTTAATATGTTGCAAGCGACTTGGTTATAGCTGAACTCAAAGAACGGGATAAAGCATGAAATGAATATAAAGAGTACGTGTTCCAAATGATCAAATATGTTTTAATCAACGAACTGGTTGTAAATATCAAAAACCTAAACACTAAGAAACGAATAATCGTTCCTCCAAACTATCTTTTACATAGCCATCCTTAGCTTTTTCACTTTACCAACGACCATGTCGTTTGCACACATTCTATCCTTGACGCCTTTATTAGCACCGCCTGACCTTAACGAATGTAAACAATATTTGTTAATATATTTTACAAATGGAATTAAAGCATTGAATTTCCTAAATAAATATCGCAAAGTACTATACGACATTGATCTGTTAACATTCCTACACTTATAACCATTTTTAGTAGCGCTCAGATTACAAAAAATGAAACATGAAGAGAATCCATAGAAAATTCAAGATACTTTTCAATATTACTGACTGGACTTAATTTCGTGCCTGTTCTTGCTATTATAACCCAAGATCCATCTCTATACTGGTCTGTTTTGCTCGACTCAATAAACATTTTCATATGTGTACTTAAAAAATCTAGATCACATCTTATTATACTTAAGAATTCAGAACTTCTTAAAACCCAGAAAATGAAAGTAGAAAAGCACAACTAGTTCTCTGTGACTTAAGATTTGTATCAACATATAAGTTATCAAAAATAGAAGAAAGTAATTCTACGGTAAATACGCTTTGCTAATTGTAAAACATTTTACCATACTAGAGTCAGTAGGTGAATCTAAAAATCTGGAAACAAAGTGATCCCTCGGAAGCATTAATCACTTAAAGTGTTTTTGTTTTGCTAGATTCATAAGAAATACATAAATACGATATTTAATCATAAATACATCAAATAAAAGGTATTACAAGGAAGATTGTTGAAAACATCCTGGACCTCATTATTCTTTTGCGTTTTAGTTTTGACATGGTACATGACTTTTTTATTGTATAGTTTTGGGACAATGTAAATTACGTTTCAATTGTTTTTAAAGAAAAAAATGGTATTGCAAAACTTCCTTGTCCGGTTTTAGTTACATACACCTACCGATCAGGAAGAGCATAAATGTTCTAATATGGCACACATGACAGACGTAGTTTTGATTATTGTTTTATTTATTTCAATCTCTGAAGGTAAATTATTAGTTAATGTACTTAGATATCTAGTTCGTGGTTCATAAAGATAAGAAGTAAGGGTTCTTTCAATTTCTTTTAAGTAATTCATTGCAGCGGCTGTAAACATTGAATTATTGACATTTTTACAATATATTGTTTGTTTTTTTTTTTTTTTTTTGTTTTTTTTTTACAAAAGTCAAGTTCTTGAACAGAAACCTCAATATGTTTACGTTTAATCATTTTTTGTATGTAAAACTAATTGTCATAATTCATTTATCATCAAGTCTGCAACCTTGAGTCATAAATTCTAAGTATTTTTAACACATCTATTTATAATGAATGAAATCTCCATATATTGAACAGTTAATACTTATATGTATTTGTCTATTTCTGTTTATTGTATGTTTAGTATATATATGTAGAAAATAAGTAATGAAATATTAATAAAAGATACGAATCAAATATCAAGTCTTTTAATTTTGTCAGTTTCCCATCTATAAATCATACGTACTAAAATGGAACAAAATATGTGCAGTAAATAGAAATACCCGTTGTATTTTTTGTGTTCCTTAATTCAACGGCATAACTGTTAATAATTTGAAACGAATTTATTACAGATAATTTACAACGTATATCCTTATTAAATATATGTTTTATAATGTTTAATAGTAATATATTTTATATATGTATATAACTTTTAGCCAAACGGAGACTACATATTCTTGAAGATATCATTTCGTTTTTTAAGGTTTTTTTAGAATCATGACCTTCGTAATGTGATTGACTGATATAAAAACAAAGCGCGTAACAATCTAAAGAACTCATCCCCCCAACCCAACCCCCGCAAAAATATTACTGTCGTTCAATGTTATTGAGAATAGATACTGCAATGAAATAACGACTTGTTTAGTATTTTGAGAGCAGTAAAATTAGTAGACTTTTGCATAGTAAAATATAGTTTTACGATTGTAAATATATTAATAGAAACGGGAAGGCATCTCGAAAGCTGTGTAAGAACAGGCAAATTGCCGAAAACGACTGTCTGTCTGTTGGTGAGAGGCAATGCACTGATTAAAATGATAAAACAAATAGTGTGATTTTTAATTCCAAATCAAGAACAAAAGAACTAGAAAATATCAAAGCACTATTTACAACTGCTACACAACACTTAATAGTATCAGATATACACATGGTTATAAAAGTAAATTTTTATCATCATCGTCATAATACTTTGTACTTCTTTGCAAGAAGCTGCATTAATGACACCATATAAAACAACTTGGGAAAATGCAATTCACAATTGCACAATGGAAACGCCTACAATTATGTTCCACGGAACAATGAAAGATTTGCCCGTGGCCATGAATTCTAGTATTATTGGAAACAAAGATGTGTGGGTAGGATATTATAAAGCAGCTACAGCCTTCCATTATGTTGGTAAATATAAAATTAGAATATATATTTTATCCTAACTTATGACAAAATAAAGATAATTGAAAAGACAAAAAAATCATTTATATACAAATTAGACAGATAAAGGTCACGTAGGGATCTATGCATAGTTATGAAATAGTACAATGCGCAATTATCTTGAGGTAGATCTAATTGGGATGTGTGAATGTTATATCATCATTAAGTTTCTGTTTTTTAAACAAATTTGCAAAGAAATTGATACCGGTTTTTACACAATGATAGTGTATAGATAGTTATTTTGAAATTCTTAAATCTGTAACATCTTTTTCTTATATCCAAGGCTGTATAGAAAAGAGAGATATGACTGGAATAGCGGATTTTGTGTACAATACTCCGGGTTTCTGTTACTCAGCATGCAACAAGACATATTTTATAGGTGTCACCAGGTCAAAAGTAAGACATACTTAAAAGCGTGGAGCTAGACAAGTTTACTTACAATTAAAAAACAAAACAATTTTTATTATAATAAAAGTCAATTTAATGTGAAAAAGTAGTATTCTAGAACTGAAAAACATTTAAATCCTTTAACAAAAACAGAATATATTTATAGGACAAAGGCAACATAGTCTAGACCTTAGCAGCTCGGTAATGGAATGATTTAATTACGATAAAAGAAACACGATTTAGGGCATTTTTTTGGAAAGTGTGTGCTAATCATCCAATGTATTTGAGGGTGTAACATCATGTATAAATACAATGTATGAGTAAGTTAAAAGTCCCTAATGCCTATTTTCCTTAATATACTGAAACCGTTTTGACGTACTTAAATGGTTTAATGATATAACAAACTTGATTTATTTATCATTCAGTGCTACTGCCTTAACACTATTCCATCAAACAGGACCTACATTAATTGTACCCAGGGTTGTAAAACTCAAATGAATATTGCTTGCGGCGGCAACAAGTATGTGCCAATTTACACTATTGACTTAAATGGTGAGATATTTACATTGTTTAACTGAATCATTGTATATTATTCATAGAACATTAGAAAAATTTTACTCATCAGTCATCACAATAAAATGACTTATACATTTATATTTATCGTCGGACATATAAGTCAATGTGAGTTAAGTAGGACCAGATTTATAAGAACAATACTTCTGCATTAATTCTTGTGTTTGCAGAGTTTAAGTGGTCATAAAATCATAACATTTAACGAAAATCATGTAGACATTATATCTATAATATGTTCCTGAAGTAGTTCGTTCATGGAATTAGTGCATTGCTTCTTCAAACTTACACTATTTTTAGCAAAACTTTACAGTGGAATTGGAAGATGTCTTCAATATGAGTTCACAAATGATACGTCCACATGGATGTGGGCAAACTGCGCTTCAACAAATCAGATCATCATATGTAAATGTAGTAAGAAATTAAATAATAGCATACTTTTACTTATAGAGGATAGTTAAATATTTTAATTACATGCACAATAAATCACTGAATAACTTAATGAAATAATTGTTTATAACATATCGCTTGTTATTTTATCCCGTGAAAAAAAAACACAAATCAAAGAAAGGTGGTACGGAAATGTATGTATTTCGTTTTTTGTCAATCATTATTACCATTTCAAATTGTAATTGTTTAAAGTTAAACATCTCCATTTTTGCCAGATGATACGTATATTCATGAAATACATAATGATGATTATAATACACAAAAGAGGCGATGGAGGCCATCTATGAACAAATGTTTTAGTTTGTCGAAATTACCAATATCAGTCCAAGACCTTGAACATTTTGAAAGAAAAACTAACATTGGGAAAGCATGGGCTGGTGTCATTTCAAGTGACGTTATATACAGAAGCGGTGCGTAATTTATGTTTCATGTTTAAGGCAAATTATTATGCTACTATTAATATTGAGAATTATTCCACATGAAGTTTTTAACACTCGCATATGACGTAAATAAGAATAAACATTAAACTACTTATTTCACCAAAGATTCCTAAATAGCCTAACATTGAAAAACTTTTTAAGATGAGAAGAATCACCATAAGGTTATCATTGTAGCAAATGACGAATTGTTGTATGATCTTAACCATTCCTATGTCGTTCAATTACACTAAAAGATAAACTAACAAGTCTCACACACACGGACATTCAGTGATACAATTATCAGATTTGTTATAGAAAAACACTTCAGATTTATAAGTATGTCCATGAACATGAAAGTAAATATATTTGTTTGATGTTTAGTATACATGATAACATCTTTTACTATAACATTTTTAACAGATCAAGAAGTTCCAAACATAATACCAACAAGGTTTGGCTATCTTCAAAGAAACGAGAAAAATGATACAATATTAAAATTTGATAGATACAGCACTATACAGAGATATACGCTCTGTAAAAATGGTAAACACTGCTTTTTCCACATGTTTAAAAGCGAGTTCCTCATATTGTTTAGTTTACATCAACAGAAAGTAAATTTGTTATCAGATCTTAAATGTATGACAGAACAACGCTTGCGTTAGAATAATCATCTTAACCAGATGATATTAAAGATCATAATATTTAAGTCAAAATCTATAAAAGTGTTTGCAGAATACGTCTGAATTTCACTTTATTTTTCTTATTTTGAGGATTACGCTTCGGTACTAATTCCACTAAAAGATAATTACATTTGAAATATGTAATTTCACTCAGCTTCTGTATTACCAATTATGTTGATACGACATACGAAAGTACGTAACGGATACACATCAGGATAACTATTCTGAATAACTGATACTAACATGTATTTTTTTTGTCTGTTATCATGAAAATAAAGAATATAACTCTCATAATTGATTTATTTCATCCGCTGACAAACACATTATGTTTTTATATAGATTATATAAAACATAATACGGACTGATAAATTAAACGTTGAGCATCTTAAATACATGTTATGATACTAAATGCTTTAATTCCATCCTACTTTTTGTTTTAGATGAAAAAACAGAATCAACAACTTTTAAAACAACTAATGAGAAAGTTATCTTAGGATCAATGGAACATTCTGGTGATTATAAATCTACTTCTATTGCTAGAACTAAGTAACTGAAAACTACTTAAAGATGAAACAACCGATCGGAAATTGAACATATTTATAAGTAAAACAAAAGGTTAAAACGACAAGTTTGAAAGTTTCTTTATTTATATTGATTGATTAAAATATAATATTTTTATGTAATAAGTGATTCTTAAATTTCCTTTTTTTCAGACTCAAGTATTGGGATACCTGTTGGTGTTTCGGTCGCCACTTTCATAACTGTTGTAACTATTGTTGGAGGAGTTATCCTTCTAAAAAGAGGGTATTTTTTTCACTAATATGCACATTTTTCTAAACCACTTTGCTATTAATTTTAGTTTTCATTATTTTTTTAAACAAATCATTCTTTAAGGAAACATATTTTGAATAAAATAGCGTTAAATTAAAATCGTAATTGCTTGATATTCTGAAGAATAATAAATATCGATTCATAAAGTCGCAACTGCCGTTTACAGATAAACATTCAAATGTAAGCTATCGTTAATAATGATTTTCTTTGCTTATATGGCTAAAAAAGGATTATTGATGATACATATCAAATTGTTTTTCATTTTAACATCCGAAACTAGTATAAATAATGATATTAAATTGCTTTCATTATAAAAAAGTAATTAAGTCTTTACATTACATGAAGATTCCATTTGATATCGCAAACATTTAAATTAC